ATTTCAAACAATTTGCAATTCTCTCAGTGATATATATATATATATTTTTTCCTTGGAATTCAATTTCCTGATAGAACTATTAATCTTAATCCAGATTTATATGTAGTAATATCTACCATTTACCTTTTTGCCATAACCTTTTGGACCCATTGCTCAAGGCTAGGCCTCTGCTTCACTTATTCCTAAAACAAACATCTGCGCCAAAGAACTTTTGATGCAAAAAATAAATAAATGAATAAATAAATAAATAGACAGTAAAAACAGTCTCAAAATGTACAGAATTCTGGAGACTCAGTCGGTACAGTCAACAAGAGAAGTAGCAGATAGATCTGTATTTGTTCCTCTTACTGATCATTACATTTTTGTAGATTATTGTTAGAAGGAGAATACCAAAGGGGCAAAAGAAACTCATGCTCAACCACTTTGGCTCCTTGCAAACTTTTTTTTTTTTTTTTTTTTGTATCTTCCAAACATGAGCACCATCTTCTCTGTTAGTCCCATAGCCACCTCCACCAATGACATTGAGTTTATTCAAGAGAGGGTATCTAGTATTCTTGTCATTCAGTGTTCAGTGTATGGTTTTGCAGCTCCTAAGGAATAGCCACCTGGCAAAACACCAGCTACAGAATCAGTCAGACAACTAACTTCATGTGAGGCTTCTGCTGTAACTCCAGTCAGCTCTCCCACATAGAGTCAGTCTACACAGATTATCAGACCATTCATAAACTGTTGGGGTTACAAGCAGGTCACCTCTTCTTGGCATCATTTAGACATCAACTTAATTAACAACTCCCTTAAAATTCCTTTAAGCAGAAACTGGACAGGAACGGACATCTTTTTGCTTACCCCCTGCATGCAGTACCTATCTACTATCATCTCCAGTCTTAGTTACACAATTAGTTATGAAACAGCTAAAATGAAAAAAAAAAAAGGAGTTCCATGAATACCAGCACTACAGAAGTGTAATATCTTATGAATTCTTGTCTCATGACTTACTGACATTGTGTCTAGAAAGGTGCAAGCTCAGACTAAGGTTTATTTGGTCTTTTTCCTACAAAGTTCATTGTTCAATAAGATATAATTTCCCACCTGAAAATTTCCCTCAACTACAACACTCATAAGATGTACTTGCAGGATTGCTCTTCCTTTTAAATGATTATTCTTATGATTATAAGAATTTAAATGTGTGTGTCTCTACCAGCTTTGGTTGAACTTGGTTTTTAGTTTAATTATTATTCTCATTTCTATAGGAAATCAGAAGTAACTTGTGTTTCTTCTTCACATTTTTCTTTTGACCAGATTCCTCTCCTCAAATGTCATATCTGTCTTGCCTACGGGAATACCACAGAACAGGAGCAGGTGAGGTAGAAAAGGACTCTCCCCCTTTGATACAACATCTTCTGGTGAAAATGGCCATGGCTGAAGTTTTTAAACAACACAGGCTGTTGTTTCAACAATAACAGGACCACCTCAGATTGGAGAGTACTGATCAACTGGTGGCTTGTAATGCAGTGCTGTATACAGTGCTATCTTTTTTTATTATTATTTTTTTTTTCTTTTTGGTTTACAGGTCATCCTGAAACATGATGGTAGCTCTGAGGTTGAGATATTGACTCTAATTCAGTCTTCTCCTAAATCATCTTGATTTACTATTTTTCAACATGTCCTTTGCACTGTCTGTTTCTGCATATAACTTTTATATTGGTGTAGATCTGAAAACAACTAAAAATAAAACCATGGTCTGCATTCTTATTTATTTGACAAAATGAATAGCCCTTTTTTGTTTCCCATCTCTTCTATGCCTATAGATGTTTAGAGTCCTTTCTTTGACAAAACAACACACAGCTCAGCTCCTGCTGTCTGGTGCAGCAGCCCTTTTAATAGGAGGCACATCTGTGTCAGCTGGAGCAAGCAGTATCTGACTTGAAATGAGTTTTGCAGCTGGCCACGATTCAAAGGGGGCTTTTACCAGGCAGTTGAGTTTTCATATTGTTAAGAAATACAACAGCCACTTGGAGGTGGTAGTGAGCAAAGGTTTTAATGAAACTAATGTTTACCATCAAACCAAACTATGATAAAAATAAAAATAGCGAGAGCTGCTGGAAGCCTATGAAGTGTGCTATAAAAGCACGTGCCATAAAACTGAGACGATATAAATTTTCAGACTAATTTGATTGCTAGTGCAGATGTATAGCCGTTAATGCTCTATGGGTGATACATAAGTGGCAATTGAAACAAGTCTGGCTTATTCCATGTTCAGTAAACAGAGCATGAGGTTGGCTGTATATGGTCTGTTTAGCAGAATATACTGAACATATGAAAAATTATTCATTATGAACATTTACAACCCACACATGTCATTTATATCATTTGACCACTCAACATAAAAAGTTTATTGTTTTTGGCAAAATAAGCTGCAAACATCCTTAATTGGGATGCAAATTTAATGCACAGTTTAGCACTGTTGACAGCTAAAAGGCTCATATGGACATTTCCATACTTTTTTCCATTTACATTACAGATGGTGAACAGCAGATACATAATCAAGAGCCAACATTATTTCAAGTGTTGCATTCTTATTTCATAATTTTTATATACTTGTCAATATTGCAAGACTGACTTCTGAGATTTTGTTTTCAGGTGAAATATATAAAGTGAACAAATTAAGATTTGTAATGAAATCAAATATGTGAGAAAACATGAAAAGCTTAACTGTCTAATATTTTTTTCAGACTAACTGCAAAACAGCTTCTATCAAATTAATTGTACATGTTTGATAACTCTTGGTCTCTAGCACCTGCTTCCTGACACAGGAGATTTAAGTTATAGATCACAACATATTGATGGATGCTGATATTTTCCAATCACTGAGGCGAAATTCAGTGCACATAAACACCTGAGACACACTGTTACTTTCTGGCTAGCACAAGCCAGATGTGGCATGAATTCCACCCTTGTTAAACTCAAGGTAAGACTTGCATCGATTTCAATGGGAATTCAGTCAGACTTCCTGGCTATGTCTGTATGTACAGAGAGTTGTCTATGTCACTGATGCCAGTTGGCCTAGAATGTCCTATTAACTTTATTAATGCCACTAGGTGCTATTACCAGCCAAATCAGAGTGCCTGCATGAAACCTGCCTATTAGGAATGGTTCCTTGCCTGCACTAGCTCCCAAGCCATACCCAGAAGCAGTGCTAGCTGGCCTGGGACAGGGCTGTGCCAGGCAACCCTGAGCAGCACAGGTGACTGAGTTTCAGTGAGGCTACTTGATTTACTAGCTGAAATGTAGCCACTGTGCAAGCCACTGTGCACGGCACTTTGCACTGCTCAAGCACAATGCAAACCTCTCCACTTACCTGCAGTTAACACAATCTAATCCTACATTGATTACATTGCATTTTGCTCTTGATAGTATGAACAGGACAGCTGGGCCATCGACTGACACCACTCACTGAAGTAATTTCTCTTTCATTGTCTATATGTATTTAAATTTATGCTCTAGATATTAACAATTTTCTGTATCATACAAAACCTCTACAAAGTGCTAATTTCTCTTAGGTTATAATGCACTAAGTTTTTCCAATCATATAATAATTGTTCCCCCCCACCCTCACCCCCCTTTTAATCTGAAAGACTAGTAAAGAATGCTTATACCAAATACTATTACTATTCTTCAATTACAATGCAGAGAAACTTAAGAATTTGTATGGAAGTTGTATATAAGCCTCTGTCCTTATCTGTACATGGTTCTGAGTGTTCTCCATAGTAACTAAAATTTTTCATCTTTTCATCAGCATACTTTTTACTCCTATCTTACTGTTTACCCCTACCTTAGTATCGAGCTATACTTGTGCCTTGAGATTTTAGAATGTGTGATTAAAGTACATTGTGAAATATGCTTAAATACACTAAAAGAAACTTGTAGAAACTTGTGGGTTAGCTGCTCTTGAACAATTCAATTTACTGTAATGATCTGCAAATAAGAAGTGGAGCTTTTCTCCATTTATACAATGTTGCCAACAAAAATACCAGGCTACTCAGAAACAGAAAAAAAAAAGGTGTTGCTTCATCTGGGAATAGAAACTGATCCCTTTTGATGTAAATTGCAGCTTCTTATATGAATATCACTACATATTACACCTGTGACTGTTTAACTCTCATCATCTAAAAATCACATTAGTGAAAACACAGTTCAGTAAGTAACGTACTGGAGTCATTAATAAACCATTAACTGTTGCTCATACAGCCATTTAGAAAGTTTACAGTATTATCACATTTTCATTAGTAAAATTTCTCTTTGTTATAAAGGGAAATGCTTCCTTCTTTGTATAAAGGAATATAAGACTAGTGAATAAAATTACTTCAAGGGCAATTACAGCTATGTTTTTTTTCAACTTACTCATAGGGCATACTACCTAAAGTCCCTGTCAGTCCTGTTTTGGTCTGGTTCACTCACACATGGGTAAATCTGAACTGTCATCCTTCAACATCAGGTTGAACTGCCTTCAGTAAATAGGCCCTGTACATGGCCAGGATACCTATGTACTTCTCATCAAGCTTGCCCACTTACTTGGTGAATACTTCTAGATGTTCTAGAAATTGCTTTTTCTTTTCTAAGCCAGTTTACCACAAACAAACAAAGCAAACACCACCAACAAAACAACAACAACAACAACCATACATATATACTTAACATAAGCATAATATTCCTGCATTTAGATTTCTGTCTTTTTACACTGCTACTGTGATATAAAGGGATGTTCATAAAATTGGGAATTCAAACATGACTGTTTTTTCTATCTCAGCTTTGCTTAAAAAGTCACAAGTCCTTGCTTTGATTTGTAAATCTTATCACGAAAATGTGCTAGATTTCTGCAAAATAGAGAGCTAGGTTAGTCACCAGTTAGTCATGGCACAGCTTTGCACAGAAAAATACAGTGTTAAATAAATTGCCAAATCTCTTATCTGTTTATCTTTTGCATTGTATGAAAAACTTACTTTATTGACTGGAAGAATGTTTTTCACGTTGAAGTAGAATCCAAAGTAAACCATGTTAAAAACTCCATGACGGCCCAGTGTTGCAGTAAGACCTTTGTTGAGTCCTTGGAGGCCCAAACCATTGGTTTTAATGATCTGCTGAGCTTGAACAAAGCTAGATGGTTGCTACACAAGTTAAGTAAAGGAAGGAAGAGATCATCTTTAGAAAAAGCAAACAATAACCACAGCCTCATTTCAATCCTGTTGACAAACAGTGTTGCCAATTCTTGTCATATTATCTTAAGTCTCACCATAATTATTTTCATTAAAAAAAAAATCCTCACTTTTCTGATTGCAGAAAAAAAGTTGACAACATCCCTAAAGCAAAGATAAAGCTCTTAAAACAATAATTTAAAAAAATCAATCTAATTTTACAGAGAAAATTATGTTTGAATGTGTGAATTTGGCAGTAGTTTTTTTTTTTTTTTTTTTTTTTTTTATCACTGAGCTTTGCTGTTAGGACTGTGACAGATGAAACCCTTGCACAACTAGAGCATACAACAATTATTCTGGACAATTAGAAGATTAAAACAGCTCATAGAGTAAAACCAATGGCACAGAAACATGCATTGTGGGGGAGTGATGAAAGGACAGAACTGGAGCAGGAAATTTGAGAGCCATCATGGCAAGGAAAGCAAGTCATTGGGAGACACAAATTGGAGCAGCAAGGGATGGTATAAATATGTGTGTTGAATAGCAGTTACACATTCAATATTAGAAATAGGGTTGAAAGGCAACAAAAAGCATATATATTATCTGGGAGTCCTTCTGTATTCTCAGGTTCTTCATGCTGTTAAGAATGCAAACCACTGCTTTAAAATACTGAATTTTAAGGAAATTACTAAAGTTTTTTTGTTATAGAGGTATGCACCTAACTTTAACATTGGAGTACTGAAAATCTAGAAAAGAAGGTGTAGATTTTTTTTTTTCCAAAACCACACAACTGAACCCCCTGTTTTGCACTCCTAGTGAATGTATTTGACTTAAAAAGCATAGTTAGATTTGGAAAACTGGAATACTCATATACATTCCAAGGTACAAATTTAGGAAACTGCCTTAAGAAATACTGTTTTGAAAATAACTTTCAAAAGGCATAGAAATTCTTTTAGTCAGTCCTACTGCTGCTTAATGAAAGCCAGAAAGGAAGAAAATTCCCCAGGATCCACTTATGTAATGATCAATTCCTCTGACAGGATCTGCCTGACTACATACACAATTGATCTGTATCATAATATAATGTGACACTCAGGTGCTCAGGTGAATCAGGTGCTCCCCTTCTGAAAGGTCTCCTCTATTGTTTTAGCAGAATTACAGGAAAGTTATTTTCAAAAAGGTGTTGACTTGAGTTTGGTTTTCTCCAATGCATAAAGCTAGGTCTGGGTAACCAAATATTTAATTAGAAAGTCAAAACATGACTTCCACTAGGATTCTCAAACAGGAAAATATAGAAGGATTTTGACTACAATGTGCTGAACACTGCTAATTTCAATACACTTATTTGTTTAATGTCTTTCCATTTCAAAATATCACTGTAGTAGATCAACAACATCAGCCAAATGATTCCTATTATATCCGATACAGCATATGATTGCCTATTTAGGTGACTGACAAATGTAGTCTTTAATACCAAGTTTCACTCTGTTTTTTCATAATTTGTAACTAATATTACCCTCTTAATGCTCTGCACACATTTTACTACAGTTTACTTTTCTAACTACACAAGTATACAAATCAGAATCTATTATAAATGTAGATACCCAAATGGAATATGATCCAGATACTAGCAATAACGCCCATTCTCATGAAAAAAAAAAAAAAAGGGGGGGGGGGGGAGGGGTGGGAAATGAGGGATTAGATCTTTAAAAAATGACTAGTGGTCCTGAATAAAGCGATTTAAGTTGAAGACACCAACTTTCAATAGTAACTTGGTCTCAAATACAGACGTACTCACTTACTCCTGACTCACAAGGGAAGCCTGCCAGTTGCTGTACACCAGAGATGGGATTCATCAGTCCAAATATAGATTCCTGAAATGTCTACATCTAGAATCACAGAATTATAGAATGGCTTGGGTTGGAATGGACCGTAAAGATCATCTAGTTCCAATTACCCTTCCATAGGCAAGGATGCCACTCACTAGATCAGGTTGCTCTACACCTGAGCTACTCAAAAAGACTCCCTTTTTAACAATAGAGAGGGCTCTCCTAGTGAACAATTTACCAGACATCTAAAATGTTAGCTGATCTTGCCACAGAAGGTCTATATTTCTGTACTGATGATGGAAGGACCTTATGATGACTACCTGGGAGGAATTCACTGTATAAACATCCAGAATTTGACTCACTTTAGACACTTGTTGACTTATACTTAACAGACACCTAGACAGCACAATCTGGAGTCAAAGCCTTCTCATCCTAGTGCAGAAACATGTATTTGTTTAATTAATCACAAATTGAAAGTGAGAAGACTTCAATCACATCAGCAGTATATATAGCCAGTGGGTTTTCCATGGCTACATGGAAAGGAAACAAACAAACAAATAAAAAAAGTGTTGGGACTTCTTGCAATTTACCTAAACAAAAAGTGAGGTGTTATTTTTATGTGTATCAATTCAAATTACAGAAGTGCCAATATGATTTATTGCGGCCTTCCTCTTTAAAACTATCAGCCCTAGAAAGATGATCTGGTACAACAGAATAATTCAACTGTCACTGTAGTGTGTGAATATTTACTTTGGGGGTGTGCAGAAGTCTGGGTGTGGGTTTATGTGTTCATGCTCTTCCTTGTTCCTTTAAACAAGATATATTTATTATTTCAATACAATAGCCAAAGAAATATGTGACCTGCATTAGGTTTCATCATATAATATGAAAGCTGTACAATGGGATAGGTGCATACTTAAACCTTTTATAAAAACAGTATATGGTAATGAAATGAGTGTATCATTACCCTACACTCTGTAATAACATGCAAGTGCTTCTCCCAGTAAGCTTGAGTTTACATGCTTTAGTATGGAATGTCCTTTAACGTATTCTTAACAACAACTTGAGATCATGGTACTGAAGCTACTAGAGTTTTCCTGATTTACTGCAAATTCTAAAATTATAATCCTTTTAAAAAGATATTTTAAAAATTGATATCTCTGTGATTTAATCACAATTGTGATTTAAGAAATTCAGAACCTTGGATTTTTTACATTAGGGCAAATAGACACTTTCAATCATACTTTAAGTGTAAACTAGGTTCCTAGCGGAGTCCCAATAGCATTCTTTTAAAATTTTATTTGTATGACACTATATTGTGATTTGGACTATGTGAAAATTTGCACTTAAATTAAATCCAAGGAATTTTCACTTAAACAATATAACTCAGTTTTTGAACAGCTATACTGTGATTATCAGAGTATTTTGAAGGTCACCAGGAAAGGACTTCTGCAATGAAAGTAATTAATTGCATAAAATTTACTAATTAAAACATCATGGTATTTATAAGCCTGAAATAGAGAAAAAAAATGTATGAAGAGAAAGGATATATCAATCTCTTGCAACTTTACAGGAACTAGTTTTCTCATAATACTGGTTTATTTGTATCCAAAACCAGAGATTTTTAAAAGATATTATTTGCTTTTTCACAACCATGAGACAGAAAGATCAAGAATATCTACCTGCTTTACTGAGGAGCAAACAGGCTGAAAGAGTAGTAGTCCATAATTTTCATACCACCTTACTGAGAAAGAAATTATCTCATGCACGGCTTTCTCCTGCTTTGTCTCTCTCCTTGCAGGATCCTAACCATTTTACTCTTGTACAGTATTAGCTCTTTGTTTCAGTAGTGTTGCTGTTGCTGATTAAAAAATGTCTAGGCTGGAGACTTAAAGCAACCTGACATCTCTTTTGCATGCATTTAAATATAACAGAAATTTACGAAATATTTTAAAATTTATTCTCAAGGAGAATGCTTTTCTGAAGGAGTTACAGTCAGTGCCAACTGCTTTATGACATTTGGAAATTAGCAGCAATATTTTGCCAAAGTGTCCCTGAAGAGCACGACCCAAACAGCTTATGTAAATGACAAGTTGATATATCCTGTGCATCCCCCAAAAGGGTTCAGTTTGTGAGATGAGTGATACAAGGCATGCAAGTATTAGCTCTGACAAAGCTTAAAAGAAGAATATGGAAAACTTGTGCCTCACCAGGGATCCATCCAACATTTTCAGGCTTATGTGACTTAGCACTTTTACCATAATAGGTACAGCTGATTTCTCAGAAGATTTTGAAAGAGATGATTTGTCATTTGTTAGTCTTATTCACTGAGAAAAAAAAGGAAGGAACTGTGTGACTGCCTACCTTAACTTTTGCCTGGAACATTTTCTGCATTAAAAATAATTGAAACTGTTGCATTCTTGTACAAGTGTGCAAGTGTTCTTGCACATTTGAGTCTGATGAATCATTCTTTACCAGTTTAATCTTTTTCCCCATTCATCAGTAACCAAAACCATGGACAAAGTCAGTTTTACACATTGAGTTTGAGCAAAACAACATTTCAATAATAAAACTCTGAGTAGAAATAAGGCTTTCAATTATCACCATGCTTTATTATATAACTATTTCCCATTTGGTGTCTAGAAATGTAAAGATTTATATCACAAATAAATTCATCCAAGCCTATAAAACCTACCAGCTACATTTTTAATATAAAAGACATGCCTAGGGCATAGGTTCTTGGTGTCTTATGGCAATCTTCTGTGCTCACTTGAAGTGTGGAGCCTGCCAGAGTAAATGTGTACAAGGGTCTCAGAATTGTACTTCTGGATAAGAATTCCTCACAGTGCTGCCCCACTGGCTGCTCTGGAGGGAAGGAAGTGTACTGCAGGCACAGGATATCTACAGTGGAAATGCTGACTCAACTGACAATATGCTATGCATCTTGATGCATATCTGACAGCATCATCTACTGAGTCTCCTCCCTTTTTCCATTTCTGTTAACCTTGTGGCAAAATCATTTGCATCAACCCACTATAGTATAGATATTCCAGTCTAAATATGAACTTTGAAGTGCATTACACTTAATAAAGCAAAAACAAAAGTGGAACAATTCTCATACCTCTGTGAAGGCATTCCGATTGGTCTGTAAGGTAACCTTTACTACTTCAAAGGGGTTAACCACAACTGCCTCTGTTAATCCAGATCCCAAGCCAGCAACTGCAAATGCCTAGGGAAGTTAAATCAGTCAATATGTAAAAATCAAGTAGTAAAATTTCCCATGTATCAGATTATGAAACTGAATGATACAATGAGAGATTTCAGTAATGTGACAGTACTACTACTAAACAACACTAGCCCTTGATTAGGTGCTGACAGTTCATGAAGACAATATGACAATAGCCATAAACCACATTCCAAAAAAACAACCAAAATGAAATGTCATAGCACTGTCAATGAACTTTCTTTTGAGCTAAAAGAAAAACTGTGGTATTGATTTATAATGAAAACATGAAAAAGCATTGCCCTCATGTTAACTTTGGGTGGAGTCTGAGTAAAAGCATAAATGCAGTTATGCAGTACCAGAAAAAAATAAAACTGCACAGAGCTTTAAGTGTATAACATTAACACATTAACTTAAAAAAAATAAATAAGGAAATGTAAGAAATTCAAATAATGCAGTACTTAAGCACATTGCATAAGGAGAAGAAAATTCCTCCTAAGTAAATATCTAACCTGAAAAGGTTTACATGGGAATAAGTGGCACATATGGAGATGTCGACATTCTCTACAAGGATGAATTAACTCCATGTACTTAAAACCTGATGGTACATTACAGCCATAGAAATGTTGGTATTCAGTACTTTGCTTTCCATCAGGAAACAGCATTTATAAATACAATAATTTCTTTGTAAGAGAAAAATAGTTTAGATATTCAGGTCAATTAAGAAAATTCAGAAGGGTTAACTTTTGTGATCACTTTACATACTTATTGACTCATTTTATTGTCTCTAAACTTTCTAGGGGCTGTAAAGAGTCCCAGGTCCACAATGCAATAAGCGTATTTGCTGAAATTCAAGGAAACGAATGGTAAGGAAAAAACAATACTTAGACAAATAACTTATTCAATACAGAGAGTTTTGACTTGGGAATATTGAGAGCTCAGGTACAGAATGTACCTGTAAATTAGAAGGGTAGCAGCAAGTTCCAGCCATAGTACCTTTGCCTCCAGCTGTACTACCATGTTGCCAGCAGATCTATTTTTCCAATGCAGGATGGGAACATAACCTATCCCTTTTACCATCAACCAGCAGGAAGCCATAAGGAAGCTGATACTAATGTATGCATCTCTCTTTCAACAGCAGTTGTCTTGATGAGAGCTGTGTTGAATCACCTAGAATCATTCTGTGTAGCTTAGACCAGAATCCCTCTCAGTCATCTTTTCCCTCACTGCCATGGCTAACTCAGAGGCAAAAATGCCTCCAAGTATTGCACCAAATAACACGCAAGAATGTTGGGAAGTCTGGTGGCTGCTGCATCTGCTCGATGAATTGGAGCAGCTTTTGGTCACCTATGGCATATTTACAAGTTTCCAGCATATTTTACTCCACAAAAGGTGATGCTGTACCACAGGACTCTAATCTTTGTTCTTTCCACTTTCTGCAGAATAGCATCATATTTACATCTAAGGAAGAGATATTATCACATGAATAAAAAAATATTGACAATGTTCAACATTTTATTTTGCAAGACTGAAAAATGATAAGCTGCATACAGACTCTTCTATGGTGACTGTCAATAACACTTTGACAATGTTAAGACATTTATTTATGACTTTATTATTAAGGCATTTGATATAAAAATTAATGTAACTATCATTTTGGCAGATTATATTATCAGTGTTTTCAAGGGACAAGTCCGTTCTGAGAAACTGTGATTTGGTTGACCAGACCCCTTTATTTTTTGGGCTGCTTCTGATATGGGAAGAAACAGATGGGACTGTTCAGAATATAAATATTAAATCAGAACATGAAGTGTTGCATCCATACATACCAGTCCTGGTGGTAATGATGCATATGCTAATAGCTTCTTGTATTGTTCAAAGGTGAAAAACTGTAAAGAAAAATTAGATTGAGACTGCATGGGAAAAAAAATGAGTTAATTATACAAATTAATAAAACCAAGCTACAGTGAAGTTCCACTACCTCATATCTTGAGTAGCCACATGAAGTTCTGCAAAGAAACGTAAGCTACTTTTTTTTTTTTTTTTTTTCATGCTCTCTGTAGCAGTGTTTGATGTGCAATAGTAGATTAGGCTTCATAACTGATTTTATTAGTATATTGTGCACAACAGCAGCATAAATGCAATTAAAGTTTTATGTAAGAGTTCACTTACAACATATAGTTCTTGTTTCCAATTTATTATTTTCCCTCTAACATCTAATTTTCATACACTTGTATAAATGTAGTAGTGCAGTAGCAGATACTATTATTTGTCACCAGAAATCACCCTCATATTTAATATAATGCAATCATCTTCACATTTTTAATGAGAAAAATGTAATTGCAGATTGTGAAGACAGAAAGTCTGTAGATTTTTATAGTGTTTCACTTTCAAATCCATTAATTTTCAGAATACTTTTTTTTTTTTTTTTTTTTTTTTGGGGGGATGGGGGGCTTTTCTCAAAACCAAAGCAGAATTGTCCTCCCAAATACAATCCTGGCCACCCTTGTTAAAAAAAAGAGAACTCAGACTACAGCATACTGAAAACACAGTTGCCAGGATCCTAAGGAGAACTTAAGTTTTTTTTTAAGAATGAAGACTGAAAGAGAAAAAATGTTTGTCATGTTTAGTCTAGCAAAAAAGGAAGCTGCAAGGGAATGAAAAACAAGGAAAGGAGAGAGAGATGTAACAAAAAGTGGGTATAAATGGGTATAAACTACTCATAAGTGGATTGTGGCTAGACATAAGATGAAACATTCTCAAAAGCAAAGAAGTGGTGTCTTAAAACAATCTTCCAATAGGAGGGTTCTTAATTACTTTTTAGTTTGATAAATTTCTGAAAGGTAAACATAGAGCAGCAGCAGACTAGACTTGTTGACCTAAGAGATCCTCTCTAGTCCAGTGCTCCCATGAACACCAAGACCCCCTGAAGCCTGTCTTATTTCTAATTCATATTCAGCAAATATGTTGCTGAGGCCATTGAAAAAGCACTTCAGGCTGATGGCACATAAGATAGTTCTGAGGGCAGTGAAAAAGAGGTTAGAGCATGACGAATGAGGATAGCAGAAAATCTTGTGGGTTATAAAGAGTAGATATTTGAGTTCCAGGGAAAACTAGATACTGGAAGTGTTATTTCATGTAATTTTCACAGAAGGAACACTGTGAGGCCTGGAACTAAAGCTCCCTACTTGTGACTCCTGTCTATCTATCCAGTATTCACTATTTTGTGTGGCAAAAGGGAAGTGGCTTTTACATGGCATGTTGTTACATGACTGAACAACAAAAATGTCACAGCTTCACCAAGACTGCATAAACACATGTGGATATTTACTGGAGCAAGAGCTGTCTCATCCCTATATAGCAAAAATAAATAACTAAAATCTCTTACCTTCTTGGCTACTTTCCAAAGCTAATCTGTAACACTTTGTTAGTTTAGAGGAAACTGTGAAGTTTGAAGAAACTGTGAACAGTGCAGGTGGGATCCACTGAAAGTCTGTACATTTCACTCCCGTCTATGAGACCATGAACACTCATATATCAACTAGCATGAATGTAACATACTGTTTCACCATGAGAAAAAGGCAATAGGAAATGAGGCCAAAAGAGATGTGGGAATCTTAAGAAACATAAGGGAATAGATTTTTTGGGCAAATCAGAAAGACCTATGCTGGGTCTCATCCAAAGAAGAGTTCCTCAGTCTCTCAGGCTCAGTTATCACAAACCTATCAGAACAAAACATCGTTTCCATAAACCAAAAGAAATAGAATGAGCACTAAATTGACATTTTAACTTGTTTATAACCCTGTCCTATGGCTAATTCAGAAAGGTTCTTCAGTCAAGGTCTGGTTCATCTGGAAAGTCACTAGAATCTTGCCAAAACCAGCAGAGAAATAGATGTTAATGAGTTGATAACAACACCATATTTACAAAAAGGGGGAATGAGCATTACATTTCCATAATGTAAAATTAAGATGTTAAATCCTGAAACTTGAAGGACTAATACTCTGGCCAGTGGATATATACTTTTTTATAATCTATAAGTATTATGTAAAACTTTGCAGAAAAGGCCCTAGAACCAGAGCCTAGATTGTCATTGCCCTGTGTAGAGATTGAACACAAATCTTGCAAACATCTTGCAAATATGTTTAAAATCATTGTACTGGCCTTGGCAACAATAATAAAAGATTAGAAGTGTTACTTAGACTGTAGATCTATCTTGGATAACTAAAATATAATGAAGTATTCCTTCTTCCATAATGTGTAATATTTTTTCAGTTTTATTTTTACTTATAGGTAAAAGGAAATCTTTGGAAAGTGTCAGTTGTAGGTAGGTGAATTACTTCTCTAAATGAAATTCATTTCTTATTGAGGCAAAGTTTGCTTTATTCTCTGTCCAGCATCTTTCTACTCATTGTTACCCTCCTAACCTTTAATGGAATTTCTGGTATTCCTTAATGTTTTCCATAGTGTCACAGATCAGTAAAATGGTTGTAATAAAGGCAGAAATACATTACCTAGCAATTTTTTGGTCTTAAAATTTTTACCTTAAAAATCAATACTTTCCTAGAGTCATAAATAAAATAATGAGATAATAGTAACTATGCCTCATATAATTTTTAAAAAGAAAACAGATAAATATAAGGATCAATATAGATGTTGCTGGGTATACAAGTGGCCAGTATACATACAATTTTGCCAAAAGTATCCAACTATATCATATGGGTTTATATTATATATGTATACCAAAATTGTTTTTAAAAACAGAGTAATTTGTCTTTTTCTCTACAGTTGTATTAAGTTAACAGCTTTGTGCAAAAAAAAATCCCACAATAAATGTATTTAAAACATGCTTTTGTGTATAGAATAACCAATATTGTCCATCTGGCAAAGATACACTTTAATACTCAGAGAATATTCAGACTACTTACCAGATGTCTCAATAACTCTAAGGTAAAAATATATGCTTGAAACAAGATGTCTGGGAATGCACGAACAATATAAATTTGCCCCAAAAGTTCATCTGTTAACCATTGTATTGGCATCATCACTTTCCTCCAAGTTCAGTCTAACATACAGTTATAAACTTTGACTTTTCGTCTTCCATAAATACCAGCTTTCTTTTTTTAGAAGGGAAATAAAGAAAAAAAATATAAAAAAATAGCAATATATACATGATAACCTACTTGCCTAAAACTGAACCTGTATCTTCAACACTTAGCATTAAAACTGAATAACTGTGGCTAAGTAACTTCATTTTATCAGATTTATATTCATTATCAAATAACCATGCCATGTAAATACAATATTCCAGTAGCAAAACTAAATTTCTTCTCAGTACAAAATCTGCCTTGCCCCTTCTCTATATGCTTTCATGAGGTATAAAAGACACTTTATCTAGAAGTTTTCACAGAATCACAGAATCACAGAATTTCTAGGTTGGAAGAGACCTCAAGATCGAGTCCAACCTCTGACCTAACGCTAACAGTCCCCACTAAACCATATCCCTAAGCCATATCCCATCTAAACGTCTTTTGAAGACTTCCAGGGATGGTGACTCCACCACCTCCCTGGGCAGCCTGTTCCAGTGCCTCACAACCCTTTCAGTAAAGAAGTTCTTCCTAACATCTAACCTAAAACTCCCCTGGCACAACTTTAGCCCATTCCCCCTCGTCCTGTCACCAGGCACATGGGAGAACAGGCCAACCCCCACCTCGCTACAGCCTCCTTTAAGGTATCTGTAGAGAGTGATAAGGTCGCCCCTGAGCCTCCTCTTCTCCAGGCTGAACAAGCCCAGCTCCCTCAGCTGCTCCTTGTAGGACTTGTTCTCCAGGCCCCTCACCAGCTTCGTCGCCCTTCTCTGGACCCGCTCAAGCACCTCGATGTCCTTCGTGTAGCGAGGGGCCCAAAACTGAACACAGTACTCGAGGTGCGGCCTCACCAGAGCCAAGTACAGGGGGACAATCACTTCCGTAGCCCTGCTGGTCAAAAGAGTTCATTACAAACGAAGGCTGAGAAATTGCCTCTCTACTTTTTTTTTTTTTCTTTTCCCTCAGACCTCAATGCCATAGCCATTGATGTAGTTCTCCATGACCCTAAATCTCACTAGTCAGGTTGGCAGCAGACAAGACGCATATTTGGGCCTGTTAAAATGAGGAAAACCATTAGAAGAATAAAAGGTGGAGAATAACCAAAGAAAGCAGTGACTTTCCACTGTTGTTTCACATTCATATCCAAAGAAGGTTAGTGGAAATTTTAGACAAGCTGAATTCTCTTCAGGCCTAAGCAGAGACTTTAAATTCCACTTTGGATGTTAGAAATTGTGCTGGCAGATAACACCTGACATTAAATAGCTTCAGTATCCAGGAACTTAAAATCACTTAACTATAATGCCCTATCCTTTCACTGAACCATTGTAATGTAAAATATAGCTGATATCTCAAGATAAGATGAAGTCCTGTTTGTGTCTTTGGAACACTATAAAATTTAAAATAAAAGTGCAAAGAATTAAAGAATTCAATGATTTATTTAAAAGTATGTTTAGCATTTAAATCTGATTCTCAAGATTTCAGAAAAAATACTGGGTCCTAATGTAAATGTTCAAGAACTAAGTAGAAAGCATCCCACTAAGGGAGCACCATTAAAACATTTAAGAAGTCATGAGCTTATGAAGTATAAAAGGAGGCTGAGAGAAATGAATTTGTTTATCCTGATGATATGAAGGCTAAGGGGATCTAATTCCTGCCTTCCACCATATGAAGTGTTACAGAGAAGATAAAGACAAAAACTTCTCAGAGGACCACTACAAAAGCACAAGAGGCAATAGGCAAAGTTGAAACAGAGGAAATTTGGATAGGATATATAGCAAAAATCTTCACAGTGAGAGCATTTAAGCACTAGAGCAGGAGCAAAGAGAGGCTACATCCTTGAAGATTTTTCAGAACTCAGCTAGACAAGGTACCTGAGCAACATACTCTAACCTGAAGTCAGCCATGCTTTGGGCAGGACATTCACCAGATGACCCACAGAGATCTCTCAACTTAAATGTTTTTATGATTCAACAATCATATTGAATATTGTGGGGTTTAAACCAACTTAATCAATATGAGTAAAAGAAAGTAACTCATGATTTTTGAATGACTCAAGATGGTAGGAGAGAAATCAAAGTTGGGGTTGTATTTTAACTACAAATATGCTGGAATCTAAAATACATGATCAGATGGACATTGAGCTGTTCCAACTGAAATGCAATGAAGAGAAAAAGAAGACATTACAGTCTGAAGAGAACAAGTTAGGAAGCTTTTAAATATCATCCATTTATTCTTCACTGCTATTTTGCTATTAAATAGAAATTCAGTTTGCTTAGTTGTACTAAATAATTTTGAGATAGGTGACACATATCGTTGGCATCTATATGCTAATGCAAACAAGATGACATTAGCAGAACTCCTTTAGGATTCTATTACAAGGTCACATCCTGGCACTTAATACAAATATTATTCCTCCGTAAAGGAATTGGAACATGAATGATTAATTGCAGGCTAAGGCCCAGGATCATATGCAGTCTTTTTAGAAAGACACACACACACACACACACACACACAAAAATAAATAAAAAAATCAAGACATTCTGTACAGTAACTGCTTTAAGACATATTTGTTGCAACTATAGAAAACTTCAAAGTTCTGAAGTAAAAGACAAACTTTCATTCATAACACCATGGATGCTTTGGCAGATTTCGAACTGTAAGATGAAATGTTTATTTAGTAGCACTAAAAAAAAGGGTTGCATTTCATAATTGAAAAAATTGGTGTATTGATATTCTTTGCCTAGGAGTGTTACTAAAATAATGTTCCAGAAGTTGAAATAGAGGATAATAAAAGCAAATCAGATCAACATTTGATGTTGAATACACTGTTATAGGCTAGCATCCAGTTCAAGTGTAAGAGAGCTGGAATAAAAAATTCTTTGCATGCTAGAAAGTTGTACCCACTAATATATTCAATATGTAAGAAAGCAACAGTGTGGAGCAGTGTTCTTTTGAGTACCAGAAAACTCCAGACAGCACTTCAAACCTACTACTTCAAGTTACTTAGTAAGTACTTACCAGGAGTGCCTTCTTTAAAGGCTTCATTTATTAAGCTATTCTGAGTATTAATTGTTTGGTAAGTTGGCAGGCATTTCCAATAAAACAAAATGTCGATATTAGAGGTAATTATGAGGCTAAAATATGAAGTACTAGTACTCTGTTATAAACATAGCTTATTGCAAAGTTTGATTGCAATTTGTAATTACAATTTGTTTTTCAGTAACAGTTTATGTATTTATAGCCTAGCAAAAATAGCCTAGAATTTTAAAGCTCTATATTACACTTCTTAATCAAGAACAGTTTTTATTGTACTGTTCAACAGGAAAATTTCCTCCTTGTAAAAATCAGAGAACCAATTTGCCAAAGCTTAAGAATCAAATGCGTAGGAGAATCAGTGTAGGAGAAATAAAATATTTTAGAGCTGACACTCTCTCTACTTTAAAAGGGGAAATATGTTTTATTATTATTATTATTATTATTATTATTATTATTATTATTATTATTATTATTATTATTATTATTATTATTATTATTATTTTACCTTCACTGCCCTTTTGGGTGTCTCAGCTAAGATGGGAGGGAGTATTCCCTTGTAGAAGCCAAGCAATCTATTGAAGAAAAAAAGGAAAATATTTTTGTATGGATAAATAACAGTTCATTGCCATACTACCAATTCTATTTTCACTTTTATGTAAAGCAACTAACATTTTAACATTTCTAAGCATACAGATAATAGTGATGCTCTTTGCTTGCTTGCCTGCAAAATAATGTTTTACTTATTCTATCATGTGCTGGTGAGAAGACAATCAAAGCAAAGTAATGAATAAGTAAGAATTCAGTCCATTTTTCCTGAGTAAACAAGTAACTATATTGAAAAAAAGAAGAACAATTTTGAAAAGGAAGTATTATTTATTTCATTTGAAAATGAAAAGGAAGTATTATTTAATTGTATTAATTTTCTTAACATTGCAATGATATTTAAAATTGAAGTCATGACATACTGTTTTGGAAAAAAAAAACTTCGACCAGTAAGTTACATACAAAACCTGCATGCTCATCTCAGATACTAGGTTAAGGCATCTTTTAAAATTTAGTTTTCCATATGCTTGAAAATATATGAAATAACCTTTGTATGACAACTTAATTTTAAACACAAGTTAGCTGTTCACAGAAACATAACAGAATACATGTAATTTGTCTTGGAAAAAACATTCAGGCAGTATCTTGCAGAGGTACACTTTCAGTTTAGAATAGCTGCAATCTTTTGGAGTTGGTCTGAAGCTAAAGATCAACTTGTTGCAGTCACTTTGCATCGGAGTATCTAAAGTTTATATATAATATATAAATATATATATATATATATGTCATATATATAATTACATATAAACATTTTATATATAATAATATATAATACTTTAATATAATTTTATGTCTTGCTACAAGGACACATGGTATTTGAAGACAGCCTGAGTTCTGCTTACAAGACCAGCGTGGACACATAAGGTTGGGTATTGGAAATGTTCTAAACATCAGGTAGTTCTTAAGAACACCAGCTAAGAGCAGATGTAGTTCTGTTTGCTAGGCCTCCACATCGCCTAGGTAGTGCTTAGCTCAGAATGATGTCTGATGCAATGAGCAAGAAAGTACCTTGCCAGCCAACACAGCTATATCTTAAAACTTATCATCTTCAGAGCTCATAGTTTTCTTCCCTGTAAGAAGTAAACTTTCTATAGACAAAATCACTTTTTAAAGCAAAGTTTTTGCATCCTTTTGAAATATTTAAAGGTTGAGATTCACTTTTATAAAAGTCTATTATGTGGAATACTTTTACAGGGTGTAGAAGAGTAAGCACAACAGAATCTCCTATAGCTGTCCTGTGAACATCAAAAGAAACTGATTAAATTCATGCTCCCCACCTGACTATAAAGAAACACAAATGCTCTATCATCTTTTTCACCTTTCTTCTAACATTTCTTTGAAGTCCTCTTCCTAAGCTGCTCCCATGTAAATAAAATATTTAGGCTTTTTAAGACTTTCCAGAGTGGGAATATCATTTAACCTTCCTCTGAAGTGAGCAAGGTACAGATTCCAGTCCATGCTGAAAAGAAATGTTGAACATTTTACACAATGACGGTTTCATGACAAGAATACTGAAAGCCCTTGGATAAGAGATTTCAGTAATTCAGTCAAGGAGTTAGATGTTTGAATTTCCCTCAAGCCTCAACTTAGGAACATAACTATATATAGATACTTAACTATGTACATATATCTATACCTATATGTACCCCTACAGATGTAGATATAGATATAACCATACAGATAGATATACATACCCACAGATATTGATATAGTGATATAGATACAGTAGATCCACGTTTAATCTTTAACAGTTCATACATATTCAGTTTACACTTGCTGATTCAGCAAGCTATTGAAATATTGAATGACTTTACACAAGTGATTCATACAGTTTAATGTGAGTTCAAACTGAAATTGAGGTCCAAGTAGGATCAGCAACAAGAACACAGATCCCTATAAACACTTTCTTCCTTTCAGCTCAATCTAAAACTCTGTAAGCATATCTACAACAGGCATCCTGTTTAGAATGTCTAGTACTCCAGCATGATTGGAAATGGAAAATGAAACATACTCCACTGCTCTACTCATAAGTGTAGCTTTCGCTACAGAGAAGTGAGACCTGAACTTCATCCAGATTTTCTCATTGCTAAAAGATGAATAAGCAGAGGAATATGCAGTGTAACAACTCTGTTAGTTCTAGAATCCCACTGCGCCATTACCTAGACAGTAGTACAGGTTGCTTTTTTAGTGTAGCCTTCATATATACTGAAATATATGCAGTTATTGAATATATAAATGTTGTAACATTCCCGTGATCTCTGAAGGTCTTAGGGAAACTCCAGAAAAAATGTGAAGCAGAAGGATATAGCAGGAATAGAGCAACAGATCTGCCATTTCAGCAGTCTTGGGAGGCAGATAATTCTGTCTAAAAGTAACAACATTCTATCATATTTGGTGTTGAAATAGCAGTAATTCAGATGATCATCAGGCTAGGCTGTGGGTTGTTTGAAAATTCTAGAGAAATGGGAACTGAAAGTACAACAATTATCCATTGCTCCTGAATCTCAGAGTCACAGAATGATTGAGGTTGGCAGAGACCTATGGAGGTCATCCAGTCCAGCCACCTGCTCAAGCAGGGCTCCCTAGAGCAGGTTGCCCAGGACCATGTGTAGTCAGGTTTTGAATATTTCTAAGGAAACTCCACAACCTCTGTGGGCAACCTGTGCCAGTACTCCATCACCTTGACAGTAAAGAAATCCTGCTTGATGGTCAGACAGAACCTACTGTGTGCCCATTGCCTCTTGTCCTGCTACTGGGCACTACTGAAAAGAGCCTAGCTCCATCTTCTTTGCACCCTCCCTTCAGGTATTTAGACATATTGATGGGATCCCCCCAAGCCTCCTCTTCTCCAGGTTTATCAGTCCCAACTGTCTCAGACTTTCCTCATATAAAAGATGCTCCAGTCCCATAATCACCTCTGTGGCCATTGCTAGACTCTCTCCACTAAATTCATATCTCTTCATGTATTGGGAAGCCCAGAACCGATCAGAGTACTCCAGGTGCAACCTCACCAGAGTGGAGTGGAGGTGAAGGATCACCTCCCTTTACCTGCTGGCAGCACTCTTAACACTTGAGGGAGCAAGCACTTCAGGGAACCTGGAATGCTGATGTCCCAGAAAGGGTCAGGGTCTGTGCTATTTATTTATGCTCATAGTAGTGCCTTGCAGGTATGTCCTTGCTTAAATGAAAATGCTCGTTTGCTTGAGGCAATAGCTTAAACCCTGATCTGTTGATTTTGTGTCCCTCTTGGTTCCCATCACTCCAGGCCCTTTGCTTGTCAGCCCCATCCATCGCTCTGTTGCAAGTCTGCTGGTAGCTCTCACCCTCACCTGTTTTCCCTGGTTTAAAGCCCTCACCAGGTTGGCCACCCTGACCCAAAGATACATGTGCAAAGATATCACTGTGCATGTTATGTGAAAGCTGATCTGCTGCAAGGCCAGCACAACAATGTTCTCTTAGAAGAACCTCCACTGTGAGTGAGGAGAATGTGCATAGCTCAGCAGCTGTATTCATGACCCTACAACTGAGTTTCACTGCTTTACTTCTCTTTTCTTCTGTGGAGGCATATTTCACCATGAAAAACAGACATGAAGGAGTTAAGGTCTATTCCTATGGAACACATTAAGTTTAGAAATCTAAAAACACATGAAAACTTTGAGGATATACATACGTATATGCAATATGTAATTCAGTAAACATGGTAAAGACTGGTTCAGTATTTAATTATGAAATGTGGCTTTTTTCTTTCTTTTTTTTTTTTCTTTCTTTTTTTTTACCTCACTTGAAATAAGAGCTGAAAAAAAGGTTACAAAGAAAAGTTACTGAGATGAAAGGAATAAGCGACTAAAACACAATCTCTTCTCATCACCACATCTTGTCAACTGAATAAACTTTTGCATTAAGCACAAATTCATATAGAAAATTCTCTTCCTGAGGTGGAGCAGCTGCCCTCAGCTTTTCCAAATAATGCTTTAAAAATCATGCCTATTAAGGATTTATTTATTTGAAATTTTGCAGAATTAGCTATTTATATGTATTTATTTTTCAAATCTAGCATGATGATAACAGAAACTTAAATGGTTCTCACGTCAGCCAGAAAGTACATAATACACACAAAGATTTATACTTCTTTTTACCTTGGTCAATAATACTTCTTTTTTCCTTGGTCAATAACACTGAGTTAGCACAGAGTGTATAACATTTTTCAAAGTCAACTAATGAATGGTGATGACATTTCACATTTGAAAGATATTATCACCTGTACTCAGGCCTTCCTACAGAAAACTGGTGTTCAGAAAAATTATGGAACAGCAGCAGCAATCACTGCAGCACGTGATAGAAGAGAGAGGATGTGACATCATATCCCTAGCTAGAAACATTGGAAAGAACAAGTAAATCTCTAACAGAAACACAGCTACATCTTATTTTGTTTCAGCAATAAGGGTCTAAATGAACATCACCATTCAATTGTATTCTGGGCAACAGCCCAAACTCATCTTTGCAGCAGTTGATTTTGAAACATTACAGTCAATCATATCTTCTCAATTTGTTCTTTCAGGCTTTTGCTATCCTTCTGGTTTCCATTTCTTGTTTGGAAGCCTTGAGTCATTCAGCCTGGCAAGACGACCAACCCAAATCAGTTATTTTCTTCAAATTAAGCTGAAATTGGGATCTTGCTTAGTTTGTTGTTTTCTTCCTCTCTTTCACATAATTTTTCCTTTAAGGATCTAATAAAGCTGATTGAATGCATGAACACAATATTGCTTTTCTCCTGTTGCTGTCAAATCTAAGTCCCTTACCCACATTGTTTTATAATTGAAACAAAATACCTCTTAGGTCCAATTCTACTTTCATTACCTCTGCATTATCCCAAGTATAAATAAAAGACCTAGGTTTCATGATCATGTCAGTTATATTAATTGGAATGCACAACTTTCTGTTTTTACAAGAATTTTTCTTTCAACAAAGG